GTCTTTTAGGGAGAGTGGAAGAGGGAGGGAGAGACAGAGAGAAACATCGATGTGAGGGAAACACATCAATTGGTTGCCTCCTGCATGAGCCTCGACCAGGGCCCGGGCTGGGGAGGAGCCTGCAACCTCGGTACCTGCCCTTGACTAGAATCGTACCCAGGACCCTTTGGTCTGCAGGCTGATGCTCTATCCACTGAGCACACCGGCCAGGGCTGTTTGCCATATTTTTGATGGTTTGGAAGAAGCAGAGGCGTGGATCAAACACCCCGAAGGAGTTCTCCCGGGACTGCGATGTGGGCCCGTGCGATCAGTCCACGTGGCCTTTATCCCACGCGCGTAGATAGGAGTCTGCCCGGGAGCCCTGCGCCCACCCGTGCTGGCACACGCCCCGACGCGCTGGAGAGGGAGTGACACACTTACACGTACAAGACGGTCCTGGTGTCGCCCACTTTGCCGGCGTCACCCACGGTCAGCGTGTCGTAGCCGCGCTCCAGCTCGAACTCCTCAAAGGCCAGCTTGATGATCTGCGGGGACAGGAGGCACTTAGTGCCCGGGAACCTCCCCCTCGGACCAGCACGCACAGCAAGGCTTCCCTCTGCTCCCTACCCCACTGCATCCCCATGCTCCGTACCCCCAGGGCATCCCTGTGCTCCCTAACCCACTGCATCCCTGTGTTCCCTACCCCACTGCATCCCCGTGCTCCCTACCCCACTGCATCCCCGTGCTCCGTACCCCCAGGGCATCCCCGTGCTCCCTACCCCACTGCATCCCCGTACTCCCTAACCCACTGCATCCCCGTGTTCCCTACCCCACTGCATCCCCGTGCTCCCTAACCCACTGCATCCCTGTGCTCCCACACCGGACACGTGCTCTGACTGGGAATCGAACCAGTGACCTCTTGCTGCATAAGTCAGTGCTCAACCACTGAGCCACACCAGCCCGGCTCCAGTCTTTTATGGAAAAGAGAATGAAGCCTTTCGGCCCAGGACAAGGGCAGGGGACAGCCGTGCGTGCAGGGACCAGGGCAGCTCCCGAAGGAAAAGGCAGTCTCAGGAATGACAGGTCAGCCCGCCATGGGGAAGGACGCCCACCCCTCAGGGGTCAACCCACCAAGGGCGCAGGCAGAGGCAGAGCCCCCGGGCTCCGGCTTCCCCCAGAGGAAGGCGCGTTTAAAAGCGGGACCCTGTGCCCGCACCCCAGGACTTGGCCGCCCGGAATTAACACATCTCCTGCCCCGCTGCCAAGGGCTGCGGAGGCCAGAGGGCCGGGCGGAGCGCATCTGCATACGCGGCTCTTCTGCAAACCGAGTCGGAGAAATTTATCGATAGGTGTTCTTGACGGTCTCAACAGGGACTTGTTAAATAAGCTGCTGGATTCTGTTTGCAGTCTGTCCTTCCTAAAGTCCCCTGAGTACCTCCCTCCCCCTCTGGGGAGAGCAGGTTAGTAACGAGGCCACCAGTGTCCAGTTTCTCTCTTGTTGGCCAAGAAGGTGAAGAAAATAAAAAGCCACTGATGGGAATGAGGATTTTTTTTCTCTTCACCCGCGGATATTTCCCCACTGATTTCTAGGGAGAGTGGAAGACAGAGGGAGAGACAGAGAGAAACTTCGATGTGAGAGAAACACACCGATGGGTTGCCTCCTGCACAAGCCCCAACCAGGGCCCAGAGCCCCCAACCGAGGTCCGTGCCCTTGACCAGGATGGAACCTGAACCCTTCAGTCCAAAGGGCTCACGCTCTATCAACTGAACCACACCA